CCTCCCCTCCTCCCTCTCCCTCCAGCCCTCCCCTCCCCTCCTCCCTCTCCTCCCAGCCCCTCCCCTCCCCTCCCTCCTCCTCCTAAAGCCCTCCCTCGCCTCCCCCTCCTCCTCCCCTCCCTCAGCCTCCCCCCCTCCCTCCTCCTCTCCCCTCCCTCCTCCTCCCCTCCTCCTCCCCCCCCTCCTCTTCTCTCCTCAGCCCCTCCCCTCTCCCCCCCTTCTCCTCCCCTCTCCCCAGCCCTCCCCTCCCCTCCTCCCTCCCCCCCTCCCTCCTCCTCTCCCCTCAGCCTCCCCTCCTCCCCCTCCTCCCTCTCCCTCCAGCCCCTCCCCTCTCCCCCTCACTCCTCCTCTCCCCCCTCTCTGTCACAACACCTGCCTCTCACCTGAGCAACAAAGATAATAACAAAGCAGTGAGGGGAAGAAAAAAACCTGTAAGATTGAAAGCAGGAAAATTTGTCCTGGAAAGATCCCATTAAAAGAATCGGAAACCTTATGGATGTTTTTCCTCTTTATTGGACACCTTCTTTAATAGACACCCTCTTTAATGGACACCCCTTTAGGACGCTCTTCTCTTTTTCCCATTTAAGACCTATTCCTTATTCTCCACTTCCCTGAGGATTCTCTCCCTCCCTCCTCTACCTCAGAATCCTCCCTCCTTCTTCTTCTACCTCCCACCTCAACCCCTCTTCCCCCTTACCCACTTCATAGCCTCCTACCCCCTCACCCACCTCCACTCCTCCCTTAGTCTCAGAACCTCCCTACCTCCCTCACCTTCCCTCCACACCCACCCCTCATCTCGATACCTCCCCTATATCTCCCTCTAGGCCCCCACTCCTCTGATACCTCCCTATATATCTCCCTCTAGGCCCCCCTCCCCCCATCTCGATACCTCCCTATATCTCCCTCCTCTAGGCCCCCCCTCCCCCAACTCGATACCTCCCTATATCTCCTCTGGCCCCCCTCCCCCAGCTCGATACCTCCTACTCCATCTCCTCTGGGCCCCCCTCCCCCATCTCGATACCTCCCCTATATCTCCTCTGAGCCTCCTCCCCCCAGCTCTAAGACACTCCCTTGCCCCTGGCACCCAAGTAACCTGCTTGAACTTTCAGGCAGAGGGGCGCTGAAGGTCGTCCTGGGCAGTGTCTGTGCGTTGTTTTTGTTTATGGTGACTCTAGTGCGTTTCAGGGCTCGCTGCGAGATTGGAGAGGGAGAGAGGGTAGAGGTGGAGAGGAGAGAATGAGGGTGGAGGAGAATGAGGTGTGGAGGAGGAGAGAGGAGTGCTGGGGGAGAGGAGGGGTAGGGGGTGGAGAGGAGAGGGAGTGAGGTGGAGGGAGGAGGGTGAGATGGAGAGGAGGGAGATGAGGGGTTGGAGAGGGGAGGAGGGTGGGGGGTGGAGAGGGAGGTAGAGGTGGAGGAAGGGAGAGAATGGGGGGTTGGAGAGGAGAGAGTGGGGGGTGGAGGAGAGAGGGAGTAGGGGTGGAGAGAGGGAGAGAGTAGGGGTGGAAGGAGAGGGGTAGGGGGGTGGAGAGGGAGAGGGGTAGGGGGTGGAGAGGAGGGGTGAGGGAGTGGGGTGAAGGAGGAGGCTAGGAGATGATTCTGTTGTGTGTGTGAGGGATGCTTCTTTGATCTCCTGTACTCTAGCTGGTCTCCTCCTCCTCTTCCTCTTCTTCTTCTTCCTCTTCCTCCTCCTACTCCTCTTCCTCCTCTTCGTCTTCCTCCTACTCCTCGTCCTCCTTCTCCTCCTCCCCTACTAAGCTTATCAGTCACTAGATGTCAATCACTAGTCAGTTACTCAGTCAGATAGTCACTAGTCACCCAGTCACTTACTAGTCACCCAATCAGTCACCCAGTCAGTCAGTGTAGATGTATGTCAGGCCAGTTTTTCCCTCCCTCACCAGACTTTCCCCCACATCGAGTCAGTCCACATGTACGCAAAATCTCGATCGATAATTTTTTTTCCTCGTAACAAAATATAACAAGACAACGTTTCTAATTTAGGTAGAGTCTCGGATAAACATCGACGCCATTTTGATTCTCGATTTAATGTATTGTAAATGAACTAATTGAAAGGTGAGAATTTAACTTACGTGTGTTTTTAAGAATTCACTTCATAGTTAAAATTGACGTGAGTGAAATATTTTTATATATTTTGTTAAAGATGAAAACTAATTCACGAAAGAATCATTGAGAATCCAGGTAAAGGTGTTCTCGCGCTCTTTAATTAACAGCAGGTAAATTTAACGTAAGAACCTTTGAGAAACCGAAGGGAGTCCTGCCAATAGCTTTACTCGAGTATGCTAATGTGGTCTTGTGTTTGCACCTTTGATCATGTGGAAACTCTTTTGTCATTTTTTATACAGGTGAGTCGCTTGGCAGGTGATCAGATGTGGGGGAATGTTGCAATTTGTCTGAAAGTGGGTTAAGAATGTGTGTCTGTTTAGTATGTAGGGGGGATGTTTGTGTATGTATGTATGTTTATTTTTGTGTATGTATGTATGTATGTTTTTGTGAGGGTGTATTTGTGTATGTGTGCGTATAGTGGATGTTTGTATGTATAGAAAGGGTGTTAAGTATACGTGTTTGTGTGTATATATGTATGCGTGTGTCTGTCTGTCTGTCTGTCTATGTTTTGCTAGCATTCAGTACACTACAGGTGACCTTGTTAACACACACACACACACACACACACACACACACACACACACACACACACTGACCTTAACATCACCAACAGTTGCTTACCTCGACCACCTGACCGACCAATACTACATGAGACTAGGATGGTGAGGAGGATGGTAGGATGGTGAGGAGGATGGTAGGATGGTGAGGAGGATGGTAGGATGGTGAGGAGGATGGTAGGATGGTGAGGAGGATGGTAGGATGGTGAGGAGGATGGTAGGATGGTGAGGGAGGGATGGTAGGATGGTGAGGAGGATGGTGTGGAGGAGGATGGTGAGGAGGGATGGTAGGATGGTGATGGTGAGGAGGATGGTAGGATGGTGAGGAGGATGGTAGGATGGTGAGGAGGATGGTAGGATGGTGAGGAGGATGGTGGGAGAATGGTGGGGGAGGATGGTAGGATGGTGGGAGGATGGTAGAATGGTGAGGGAGGATGGTAGGATGGTGAGGAGGATGGTGGGATGGTGAGGGAGGATGGTAGGATGGTGAGGGAGGATGGTGGGATGGTGGGAGGATGGTGGGATGGTGGGAGGATGGTGGGGATGGTGGGGAGGATGGTAGAGATGGTGGTGGGGAGGATGGAGGGATGGTGGAGGGAGGGATGGTAGGATGGTGAGGGGATGGTGGGGATGGTGAGGGAGGATGGTAGGGATGGTGGGGAGGATGGTGGGAATGGTGAGGGAGGGGATGGTGGGAATGGTGAGGAGGGGGATGGTGGGGAGGATGGTGGGATGGTGGGGAGGATGGTGGGAGGTGGAGGATGGTAGGATGGTGGGAGGATGGTAGGATGGTGAGGAGGATGGTGGTAGGATGGTGAGGAGGATGGTAGAATGGTGAGGAGGATGGTAGTGGGGAGGATGAGTAGGATGGAGGAGGATGGTAGGATGGTGAGGAGGATGGATGGGGTGAGGAGGATGGTGGGATGGTGGGGATGGTGGGATGGTGAGGAGGATGGTGAGATGGTGAGGGAGGATGTGGTGGGATGGGGTGAGGGAGGATGGTGGGATGGTGGGGAGGGATGGTGGGATGGTGAGGAGGATGGTGGGATGGGAGGGATGGTGGGAGATGAGGGATGGTGGGAGGGTGGGGATGGTGGATGGTGAGGATGGTAGGATGGTGAGGAGGATGGTAGGATGGTGAGGAGGATGGTAGGATGGTGAGGAGGATGGTAGGATGGTGAGGAGGATGGTAGGATGGTGAGGAGGATGGTAGGATGGTGAGGAGGATGGTAGAATGGTGAGGAGGATGGTAGAATGGCGAGGATGTGTGGTGTAGGATTCTTCGTAGGATGTGTTTAGAAGGATGTTTTATTTGGATGGCTGATAGGATGCTTACGGGAAGTCAATCAAGGGAGTTCCAAGGGCACGAAGGGTAAGGGGACCAAGGAAAGGGTTGAAATAAAGGGTTCTCAGGTGCTGGAGTACTAAAGGGTGAGGGAGAGAGGGAGGGGAGAAGAGAGAGAGAGAGAGAGAGAGAGAGAGAGAGAGAGAGAGAGAGAGAGAGAGAGAGAGAGAGAGAGAGAGAGTTCTCACATCTGGAGGGAGATAATTGCACTTTCTTTCGACTTCCTTATGAGACAAATTGAGGTTAATATTTGACCGACTGTTGTTTTATGTAGGTCAGATCTTGTACTGCCGTGTTTTAGTTCAGGGTTGTACAGGCGTGTGGAGTGAAGGTCAGGTGTGTACAGGTGTGTGGAGTGAAGGTCAGGTGTGTGGAGTGAAGTTTAGGTGTGTACAGGTGTGTGGAGTGAAGTTTAGGTGTGTACAGGTGTGTAAGATGAAGGTCAGGGCTACACACACACAGGGAGCTTCAGGGTCACTCAGTAACCTAATATTATAAGATCCTGACCTCATCTTCTCCCTCACTCAACCGACAAGTGATTCAACCTGTGTGTGTGTGTGTGTGTGTGTGTGTGTGTGTGTGTGTGTGTGTGTGTGTGTGTGTGTGTGTGTGGTGAACAGTCTTTACACTACTGAACAGCTCTTTTTTGTTCAGCCTAATTGTTCAGTCTATCTGTATCCACCTTAACAAACAAGAACAGAATTTAACAGAAAAAGAACAGAATATAACAGACTCTTAACAAACATAAACAGAATTTAACAGAAAAAGAACAGAATTTAACAGAATCTAAGCAAACAACAACATTATCTTTACAGTATACAAGTCTGTCTATTACACCAACTTCCTATAAGGGATTTGTATATATATAGTTAATGAGATGTAGCATTACCTGTCCTATATCAAGGTGTATGTTACTAATTGTTTTTCTTCTGTTGCAGGTGTGTTGAGGTGAAGTGTCCCCTGACGGTTCCCTGGGTCTAGTGTCACCTGTCATTACCCAGAGTCACCCAGAGTCACCTAAAGTTAGCTTGAGTCACCTAAAGTCACCCGAATTAAGGTAAAATTACGTATGTTAATAAGTCACGGCTTCTGTCACCCTTTGTGCGTGACGCCATATGTCTTGAACGTGACGTTATATGTCTTGAACGTGACGTCATATGTCATGAATGTGGCGTCATATTTTTTGAGCGTGATGCCATAATACCTGAGCGTGACGCCACAAGACCTGACCGTGACGTCACATAACTTGGCAGACGAGAAAAGAAATCACAAATTACACTTTTTCTAGAGCTTATTATTAAAGCTTACTTCAAAGTTTTTCTAGAGCTTTTAAAAAAAGTTTCCTGTTGGTGACACCATGATGGTAAAACACCCAATTTATTTGTCTTTACTGATAGAAGCTTCTGTTTATGATCTGATGGTTTATTTAGCAATATTTTCACAGGTGTAGTTTGAGATGTAAGTACAGGTAAGGTGGTACTTTCCATGGGGAGACAGTGACAGAGGCAGTAACTTGGTATAATACTTTCCATGTGGTGACAGTATCGCGTAAAGACATTGACCTAAACCCAGATGTACATAAACACAACACATTCTTATCCACTCAGGTTGACCCGCTAAGATCATGCACTTCAACCTCCGTCACCACACACCTGCACTCTGGCTCAGGTGTGTGACCCTATAAAGTCACACACGCACACAGACACACACACACACACACACACACATGTATAGTCGTTTTAAGAAGGTGTTTGTGTGTAAATCAACAAAAATAAACTGAATATCAAACAGAGAGGGATCCAACACCTTGTCCTTAGGTATGCCACCTTCCCTACGCCTCAGATACACGACCACTACACACTACTACACTTACTCCCACACTCTTGCTACACCCCATCAACACCACTACACCACCAACACACCCTACCACACTCAGAATCACTACCACACACACACACACATACTCACTCAAGCTATATCGCCACACATCCCTCATACCTCATCTGGACGCCCTTAAGTGTGGCAGGCGGGGTTAAGGTCGCTGCCACACTCACAGATGATCCACACCTTTCTCTTTCGCTGGTCCCCTCCACTGGCGAGCTGTCTTGGGGCGCCTCTCATGGGAACCTAATTTCTTGTAGATCTCATAATGGTGTTTTTCGTAGGATTTCATTTTCTTGTGGATCCTACGTTGGTGTCTCGAAGGATCTCAATTTCCTGTAGTTCCTGTGTGTGTGTCTCTTGTAGGATACTGTTTTTTGTGGGTTCTGTGCTGGTGTCTCTCGTAGGATCTTAATTTCCTCTGGTTCTTGTGTAAGTGTATCGTAGGATATCATTTTTGTGGGGTCCTATACAAATGTATTCCATACGATCTTGATATATTGTGGTTCATGTATTTATTTTTCATAGGATCTCAATTTCCTGTATGGATGTCTCTTGTAGGATTCTCATCGACGTCTCCTCAGGACCCCAGACTAATATCTCGTAGGATGTCGATTTCTGTATCATCCTATATATCTCTCTAGTAGGATCTCAACTCGTAGGATTCCCATTTACCTAAGGAGCCCATCTAGGTGTCAATCAAGAGATCCTATACCTCTAATTACCTGTTCAACACGCTCATGGTCAGGTCTTTCCCAGCGTGACCTGACCACGCCCTTACCTTGGGAAAGCTGACCTCGTATTTTTCTTCTTTTTCTCTTCTCAGTTTTCGGTATTTCCTTCTTTCCTTCATTTTTTCTTTTCCTCACTTCTTTTTCTTTCTTTCTTTCTTTCTTTCTTTCTTTCTTTCGTAACTTGGCGTCAGTTACCTCTCTCTCTCTCTCTCTCTCTCTCTCTCTCTCTCTCTCTCTCTGACATCACACGAAGGAAAAAAAGAAAGATATTTGATAAAGATGAATTAACATAAACTCAACGTTAAGGTAAAAGTAAGATTCGTTCAAGTCAGCCATTGTTGTTGTGGGGAGGTGACACGATATGTTTTGTTGTGTTGTAAGCTCACACTACCATTAAGGTTAGTGTGTCTTAAGCTCACAGTACCATTAAGGTTACTGTGTTCTAAGCTCACACTACCATTAAGGTTAGTGTGTCTTAAGCTCACAGTACCATTAAGGTTACTGTGTTCTAAGCTCACACTACCATTAAGGTTAGTGTGTCTTAAGCTCACACTACCATTAAGGTTATTGTGTTCTAAGCTCACACTACCATTAAGGTTACTGTGTTCTAAGCTCACACTACCATTAAGGTTAGTGTGTTCTAAGCTCACACTACCATTAAGGTTATTGTGTTCTAAGCTCACACTACCATTAAGACTACGCTAAGACCACTCACCCCTTACCTGGTTGTTATGTCGTCAGCTCATACCACTGATAATTTTATAGGGTGTGGTAACCTTACAACATTCTTCAGATGCTGTGCTTTACTCGCCATGTTAAGGAGGTGTGTGGTAATGCTGACTAGGTAATGAGGTATGATGACAAATGTAGATGATGCTGTTGCTATGTGCTGTAATCTTACGTCATTAAACCAAACCTAATCTAACCTAACCTAACCTAACCTAACGTTGCCTAACCTAACCTAACCTAATCTGAGCTAATCTTACCTTAACTAACCTAACCTAACCTAACTTAACCTCACGCTATTGGAGATATTACTGTGTTGTCATCCCACACCACCACTGAGGAGGTTGGTGTGTCGTAACCTTACACCACTGATAATAACTTTGTGGTGTAGATTAAGACCACTAATGTAATTACTATCGTCTACTATCGCACTCCCATTAGAGATTGTAATTATGTGGTAATTAAGTAAAAGGTAACTCTGACAGGTGTGGTATATAACAGGTAAACATTCGCTTCAAAAAAGTATCTTTACGGTGGTGATCGATGAGTTTCACAATGAACACTGTGACTCCTGTTGTCTCGGTAGGGTTGTCAAAATCCTTCGTCTCTTGTGTCATATTGTTTCACACAAAATCGTAAACATACTACTTTTTTACGTTAGTTTGTATCTATATTAAAGGAATTTACTCATAAATGTCAATGCAAGTATAGCCTTTGGTGTATAAAGCACAGGTACAGGTGATGCCCTAATTAAGCATGTAACAAGTACAGATTAAAGGTTACAGGTACAGTAACTCCAACATGGTGACGGCTTACTTAAAAAGGTGCCTTAACCCAACCCAACCCACTTAACCCAACGTAACCTAACCAAAAAAAAAATACAGATAAAAGGTTAAAAAACACAGTAACTCTCCCAGCCTACTGACAGTAGCCATAAAACGGTGCTTTAACCTACAAACAAACACCAGTCGAACTTGACCATTCCTACGATGACTATAAAAACATAAACTTCTCAGGTATTGGGAACTTTCGTGTACGCCTTCAACCCTCACCTTCAGTTTAGACCTTTTAAAGCTTTAGTGAGGAACAGCTGTACTAAAACTAGCTCTCACATAGCCTTTGGGGGGACTCATAAGTTAACATAGGTTCATGGGTGCTCACAGAGGTTCATAGGTGCTCACAGAGGTTCATAGGTGCTCACAGAGTCTCATAGGTGCTCACAGAGGTTCATAGGTGCTCACAGAGGTTCATAGGTAGTCACAGAGGTTCATAGGTGCTCACAGAGTCTCAAAGGTGCTCACAGAGTCTCATAGGTGCTCACAGAGTCTCATAGGTGCTCATAGAAGATTTCAGATTGTCTCAAATCCGGCCAAATCTTCCCAGGTCCCTCCAAATATTCTCAGGGTCTTTCGAATCTTCTCAGGTCCTCTCAGGCCCTCCCAGGTCTTCTCAGGTCTTCCCAGGTCCTCTTAGATCATTCAAGGTCCCCTTAGTTCTTCCCAGGTCGTCTCAAATCCTCCCAGGTCTTCTCAGGTCTTCCCAGGTCCTCCCAGGTCTTCTCAGGTCTTCCCAGGTCCTCCCAATTCCTCATGAATGAAACGCAAAATTCAAGGACTTCGGAGAGGTGCGTCACATAGCAGTGCCTTCGTGCTTGGGGTCTGACACGTCCACACCTTAGGGGGTGATGGAAGGGATGAGGGAGGGGGGGGGCTAGTTTTTTGCCCCGACCACAGACAATCCCCCCCCTCCCCTCCCTTCCCCCGCCTGGCCCCACCTCGCCCCGCCCAGGTGTGCAACGAGAGTGAGAGTAAAAATTGATGAAGAGGAGGGAGAGAAATAGGGAGGAAGGAGAGGAAGAACTGGAGTAGGGGAAGAAGGGATTGGGGAGGTTATGGAAGAGAGGGGGAAGAAGAGAAAGGAGGGATAAGGGTAGAACAGGAGAAGAAGAAGAAGAGTGATGAGAGGGACGAGATTGATTTCAGAGCCTGACTTAGTAAATGTATAAAAGTGAACTATATACTCTTAACCCCTCCCTCCCTCCCCTCCCTCCCTCTCCTCCCTCCCTCCCTCCCTCCCTCCCCCTCCCTCCCTCCCTCTCTCCCCCTCTCTCTCTCCATCCCACCCCCTCCCTCCTCTCTCCTCAACCCTTCCCCCTCCATCTTCCATAGCCTCTTCCCACCCCCTTTCCTCCATCATTAACACTCTACCTCATTTTACTCTCCCGTTTCTCCTCCTCCTAATGGCCTGCCACCCTTTCTCTTCCCTCCTCGGCCTCTTCCTTTCTCCATCCACCTCTTGTTATTCCCCTCATACCCTCCCTCCCTACTCTTTTCCACTCTCCCTTCCTCCCCCTCCTTCACCCCTTCCTCCACCCCTCTTCCGCACCTTCACTCAATTCCCTCACCCCCCTCCCCCCTTCTTCACCATCCCCCTTCCCCCTTGTGGTAAATCGTGTGGGTTAGGTCTACACATCGTTGTTCTCGAGACAAAGTTATTAAAATCTTGTGGTCTTAGTTAAGTGAGACCACAAAGACCCCTCAACCCTTAAAGGAAATTCAAGCTAACCCTAAAGTTTTTAACCCTTTGATGTCTCCCTTTTTAACCCTTTGAGGCTTCCGTTTTAACCCTTTGAAATAGTTTAGGTAATTTAATATTGATGTCTTTGTTTTGTTTTTTTAACCTTTAGCAATGTTTTAACCCTTTGAGGTTTTCTGGT